TCTCTCTCTCTCTCTCTCTCTCTCTCTCTCTCTCTCTCTGTGTGTGTGTGTGTGTGTGTGTGTGTGTGTGTGTGTGTGTGTGTGTGTGTGTTGTTTTAAAAGACCCCAGATTCTCTCTCTCATTCCCTTCACACATTATCACAAGCCATCCATAAAACGAGAGAGAGAGAGAGAGAGAGAGAGAGAGAGAGAGAGAGAGAGAGAGAGAGAGAGAGAGAGAGAGCAGAGCAGAGCAGAGCAGAGCAGAGCAGAGCAGAGCAGAGCAATCAGCAAGACCCCCCATCCATCTCCCACTTCACGTTCAGTTTGTGTTTCTCAGCCCTCCTGGACACCATCTCTGCCAGAGGAACGTAAGGAGACAGATAGCTACATAGAGATACATCACCCGGAGAAACAATATAAGTGGTGGTACTTGTTCGCAATCACACGCTCGAACAGACTAATCACAGGCCGGTATAGCCAATAGGGGGAGGATGATGCGCATGCTTAGCCGAAGGACATGCATCACTTACAACCAAAGGGCACACAGGAACGACAGCATGGGAGTGAGCTGACAGACTTTTCGCACCAACGTAAATACTAAATAGTAAACACTGAATAACCACATACTTACACCACCAACCAACCCTCTTTTTTTACAACCTCCAACTTCAACAACTCGGCCAGATGCCGAACGGAATGTACATATGTAACCTGACTGTGGGGCAGGCGAAGGGCATATGGGGTCCCACAGGGCAGAATATAATTCCATCAAGCAGGACCGTGGTCCTTCGCTGCCCTTAGGATGTGATCCCACAGCCAATAACAGCATCCCCACCTGGGGACTACTGCCTCAGGATGCACCCACGTCTATGGCGAACATGCAAGGATAGCCACGGGACAAATAGCTATCAGCCAACAACCATATACGACATTTGGCTATTTCTTCGCTATATGGTAGAGCCAAGAGTACCAGAAGGTTCATCACTATCCATATCCATATGCGACTAATGTCAGACGGGAAAAGAAAAACAACAAAGAAAAAAACACTCCTATCGAATAATGCTGGTTAACGCTGGTTAACGCAGTTTTTTTGTTCGTTACGCTGAGAACTTAGTACAAGTTTTTGCGACTGTGGTAAAGAGCTGTCAGAGTTAGTTACGGAGTCCAGGGCGGTGAAATGTCAAACCACCATTTTTTTTTCCCCTTTACCATAGATCGGCCGTGGGGAAAAAAAAGAGTAGAAGGCTAGAAGCGTTTCTAGTTGGATGAATTTGGTTGCTCCAGCAGTGCACCGTTCATTCACGATTGTCACAGCTTGAATACTGCAGCAACGTTCCGAGGTAGTGGTGGTTTAAGCACGGTACCTCAAACTCTTTAGATTTAGGTAAAGCCTTACCTCATGTGGAGTTGTGGAGCTGGTTAACTGAAATCCATTTGTACCTTGGTTGCTCGGTCTATACATGTGTGCCTCTAGAGTCTAAGACCAAACGAAGACAGTCAGAATAGCTAAAAGCCTAAAAGGAGTTCAGATTACTTCGAGAGAATCGCATAGGTGGAGGTAGGTTGCCAATCAATGAGGAATATAACATATATTATATTTATATATACGAAATAGTTTGTCACAGCCCTCTCTGCCTACAGTTTACCGGGCAGCTCTGTTTGATGCGATATATATCGTCACAAATATATATATAGATATATGGATGTGTGGTATATGTGTACTGTTTGGTCAGTTACGCTGCATCTCACATGTAAGGGAACGGCAGCATACTATGATTTCTACTATGAGGTTATAGACTGCTTCTTCTTCAGCTAATAGATTTCAGTGTATAGACTGCTTTAAGCGTATGAACATATTTCAGCCAGATAGTTCGACTTATAGACTACTAGAAGCTTGTAGACTGCTATAGACTTACAGATCGGGTCTAATGCAGAAAGCATTAGGGGTAATAAGGGTCAATCCCCAGTGGAGCTTGGTCCCCAGTATGGTACAGCATCAAATCTGCTCCTTTCTCAATTGTGAATAAAGAGTGAAGAATCGTGCCAACTGGCCTAGCTCAGTTGGTAAAACACCACACCTGAACTGTTGAAATACAGACCCACTGAGTTCGAACTTTGCTGGAAGCAGATGAGTAAACTACAACCGTCTTCACCTGAATAGAACGCCCGGTCATTATAGCCGTATCTGGACTGAAAAGTGCGTCAAATATGGCTATAATGACCGGGCGTTCTATTCGGGTGAAGACGGTAGATTTCTGAACAAAGAGTGAAGAAGAAGGTTAGTGGAGTCCGGATTGGTTGAAGGAGTGTCACTAGGTTCACCAGCTTCAGCTATACGCTCACTCATCTTTCCTTTTTTAGCGCTCGCTGCTGGTTTGAAAGACAGCAGTTCTATTCATTACAGCTCCGTATCTGGTTTGATTGTCAGTGACTATTCATTACTGCCAGTATGTTGTTCCCAGCTACTGCAACTAGCCGAGCTAACCATCATGGTTGTGGTACAGCTTGCAAATGCTATCCGTTTGACTATTCGCTTGGTTTGGCTACCGTCTTCACCCGAAAAGAACGCCCTTTCATTATCGCCATATATGGTCTGCAAGTTGGACCAAATACAGCGATAATGGCCGGGCGTTCTATTCGGGTGAAGACGGGAGTTTTCGACTCAGCTTGTGTGACCGGTGCTTAACTCAGCCGGTTCGACTGTAATCATTCATTAGCGCCGGCAACGTCGCTCAGCATGGCGGTTGTCTCTTGCACATGCCTCTGCTGCTTCTGCACCATCTGTTTTACGCTTCTTCTGATGCTTTTTTTGTTTTGCTTTGTTTTGCTGCTTCTAATGCTTCTACTGTTCCTGATTTACCTGTTTCTGGTGCTTCTCCAGTTCCTGCCTTGTCCCTTTCCCCACCTGCTGCTGCTTCTGCCTCACTTGCACCTTCTGATGCCCATGCTTCACCTCCACCTTCTGCTGCCTATGGTTAACCTAAACCTTCTCCAGCTTCTGATGCGTCAGCCGCTTCTGACGCTTCTGACGCTGCTTCCACTTTGCCGCTTTTGAAGCTTCTGAAACTTCCGAAGCTTCTTCCATTTCTGCCGCTTTTCAATTCCCCACCTGCTGCTACTTCTGCCTCACCTGCACCTTCTGCTGGCCATGCTTCATCTCCATCTTCTGCTGCTGCTGCTTCTGACGCTTTCGATTTTACCACCTGCTGTTGCTTCTGCCGCTTTCGATTTCGCCACCTGCTGCTGCTTCTGCCGCTTTCGATTTCGCCACCTGCTGCTGCTTCTGCCGCTTTCGATTTCGCCACCTGCTGCTGCTTCTGCCTCCCCTTCACCTTCAGGCTTCTGCTGGCTGGTCATGTTTCACCTCCACCTTCTGCTGTTGCTGACGCTGCTTGCACTTTGCCCCTTTTGAAGATTCTGCCACTTCCTAAGCTTCCTGGCGCTTCTGCCCGTTTTGAAGATTCTGCCACTTCCGACACTTTTGAAGCTTCGGCCGCTTCGGCCACTGCTTCCGCTTTTCAAGCTTCTGCTGCTTCTGCTCTGTCGCTAGTGTTTCGCGTTGTGATTACAACCACTGAGAAATCGAGAATGTAGTTTGGGGTTCAGTTGGCAAGCAGGTTTGGTCCATAGCGGACTCTTGTCCTATTTCGTTGGTCTTCGGGACTGGAGTAATGATTAATAGAGACGGTTGGGGACATTCATATTCCATTGTCAGAGGTGAGATTCTTGTCTTCGATTTATTGAAGAATAAAAATAAGAAGGTAGGTAGTTTTTCTTTTGGTCCATGGCTGGTCACAATTGTTAAGCCAGTAAACGTCGTGCCTCTGATTGGGTTTATGCGACTATCCGCGTTCTCTACTCACACGTTTAGCTGCTCATGTAAACCACCGGTACTTCCATGCATTTTTTTCCAAGGTGCGGTTTCGACTGCGCATAAGAGTCTGTACCGTTGCAGCCAAGGGCCTATCGGTGCGGCACCGCCGGTCTTTCTGATCCGATAGGCCAAACCTTTCCGTGGCACCAGGTTGACCGACAGGTGCGCACTGCGCATGCATGGTGTAGCTGCTGGCTGGGGTATTGGAGGTCTTTAAGCATAGGTAAATGAACTTCGACTGGATGCTCACGCCACCAAGAACAGTTATGCACCGTACTGATACCCTTGCTCTCTGGGTAGCTCATAGAAATTTGAAACTCAATTAAGTGTAATTGAGTCAGTACAGACACTGCTCTCTGGGTAGCTCATAGAAATTTGAAACTCAATTAAGTGTAATTGAGTCAGTACAGACACAGCAGTTCAGACCGACTTAACTACTGCTTGAGTCGACAAAGCTGTAGGCCAGGGCAGTGAAGTTGCATTTTCCTAGGTGCGTACTACCGTCTTCACCCGAATAGAACACCCGGTAATTATGGCCGTATCTGGACTGAAAGTTGGATCAAATGCAGCTATAATGACCGAGCTTTCTATTCGGGTGAAGATGGTAGCTAGCGATCAGTGCAAAGGATATAGAGGTAGAGATTAGGTGAAGGTTAGTTGATGATTAGGCAGAGATCAAGTGAAAGTGACGATTCGGTGGGTATTAAGTTACAATTAAGTTACAATTAAACAATAATAATTGGATTAAAAAACAGCAAATTGCAAGGAGATTAGGCAGAGATCAACTGGAGATCCGGTGTGAATTGACGGCGACAACATAAAGAGAAGGAAGGTATTTAAAAAAACCATGGAACGTTTGAAACTGAGTTAAAGCTTAGGCGGCTTTAGGCACTGTTATGAAAAGATAGTAGCTGCATACAAAAGCGGCTGCGGTTAACTTTTTACCAAAGGCTGGGTTAATCTGTTGGTTCGGCAAAACTCTTAAACCACCAGTACAGGCTCCACTGTTTCTGGCACAACTGAGAGGAGGCAGTGAGAAGGCCATGCCATCAATCCGAGGCTGGCGCTATAGGACAATGCCATAGGAGTGACTCCATGCATAATACCAGCAAGCTGACGATAGCAGGATGTCAGAGGTCCCAATGGTTTACCTACCGTCTTCACCCGAATATAATGCCCGGTCATTATAGCTATATTTGGCACAACTTTCAGCCCAGATACGGCGATAATTACCGTGACGACGGTAGTTCCCTATGGTTTGTTGATCAACTGACCCCCTTCTCTGTTACCGAAGTCGTCAGATCCGAGGAGGTAAAAAAGTATACCAAGAAAGCAATAAACCTTACGGATAAGTTTTGTAGCTCGTAACAAACGAAGCAGAAGCACGCTATTACCAAGTGGAGCGTAACGAGCATGCACTGTTTAAATCACCCGTGACCTTAGCGGGGCATGCTTTCAGTATGGGCGGCCGGGCCTCCACATTTAGAGGCGGCGCGGCGCAGACCTCCCCACAGTCAGCGGCACAATGTGACGGGGCTGTCCGTACTTGGGGGTAAGTTCTGAGCTCGACGTCTGCACATACAGGGAAGAGCTGCATCCGGTACTGGTGGTTTATGGAAGAGCTGCATCCGGTACTGGTAGTTTAATGAATCGGTAGAAAAGATGACGACACTTACCAGTCATTTAAGAAAGCCGCACATGGGTTACATGAAACGACCAGCACACCAAGGCTCTATTTTCCCAGTGGTCAGTTTTGCCGGTCCATGGACTACCAAACCGTCGTGGGGGCATGGCCTGCTTGGGCCTGGCTGGTTTCTTGGTCCTGTAGCCGGTAGGCAGAACCTGACCACCCTCCCGCGTATACCGGTATAGTTTCAAGAGCGAAGGGCCAACATACTGGTGGTTTGACTTGATAGCAAAGAATCTCTTTTTTTTTCCGCACAGTTTGGTAGTGGTTTCACTTTGCCTCCAGTGTGTCCTCGTCTGTCAGACTGCATTTCGTAAGCTCACTCACACAGAAGTACTGTGCTGGCCCGCTTTCACCGATCGTCCAACAAGATTCATCTCTGCTTCCCGAGCCATGCCTCAGTCCTCCGGTGTGGCTGATCCTGCGAAAMAACCCCCCCCCCCCCCCCAACCCCCGACGAGCATCATTAGCCAGGCCAGGCTATTAGGCTTTCGCCGATTCTGCAAGATTCCTGTCTGCCCCGTCTGGTAAGAGTCTGGGCCATGACTCAGTTCCAGTGTGGCTGATCATCCAAAAAGACCAGCTGAGCAGCATAGCCCTCGTTGGCCTTCGTGCTGGCTTGCACAGGCACAAGCCGTAGCCGCCAAAATAGATATAGATATACAGACCTATAGCAATAGCCATAGGGACCATAGCTCACAGCCCCACCACCAAGCATGCAAGCAATAGTTACTGCAGTCAGTCACCATAGCTACTCATCTATAGCTACACCTACAGCGGCTATGGTCAACAGCCAGCAGAGGTACGTAGCTATGGCTGCGCCAAAAGGTGGTGTCTACCGCTTGGGCTCAGGCTGCTGCTGCTGCTGCTGCTGCTGCAGCTGGCGCAGTCGCCTCTGCTCCTCTTGCCGCTGTTGTTGCCACCTGTTCCACCAGCGTGCCTTCTTCAAGTAGTCGATGTCACTAACCGTCTGACCAATGGTCCTCTCGACTCGTCGTCTGAGTCGCAGGGCGGAGACTATGGCGTTCCGCTGCAGTGACACCTTGCGTTTCATTTTCCTTTGGTCTCTCTCCACCATTGCCGACAGCTGTGCCTCTGTGAATCCCCCCACATCCTTGGTCCCACTTCGTGCCATCATTCCCCACACCCAATCGGCGAATCCAGTGTTGCTTTGAAACGCAACGTTGTCCATCATAAGCCTCAGGCGCTGGAATCGACCCACTCTCACGCCCAAGAGGGCAGGAGAGGGGGAGTCAAAATAGGGATGGTCAAGGGCCCCCCCTGCAGAGATCCTCTGGCGCCCTTTGTACGAGACCATCTTCTGGACCAGGTCCCATCCTGCTCCATCGTCCATGTCCAGGATTTCGAACCCATGCTTATATTCTTGAGCTACCCGGCTCTTGGACTCCACCTGCTCCCTCCACGCCACAATGTCGTAGCCTGCCTTTTTCAAGGCCCTATTGAACTGTATCAGTCCACTGTCCGGTCGAAGGGTGGGGAAGACCAGTTGCAGAAAAATGAGGCCAACGCTGTACATGTCAAAGCGGTCCGGTTTGTTCAGCTGCCACAGGACCGGTGAGAGAGCTGTGGCCACAGGTGGAGACGGCGCAGAGGGGGTCTGGGTGCTCATGATGTACTGTTCAGGAGCAGCGTACCGCGGGTCCAAGAGGAATTCCTGCGGAACATAGTTTATACCAACGCGAAGGTCTGCTGCGGCTCCAAGGTCAATGATCCTCAACTGCCTCGTGTCCTCTGCGAAGATGAGATTTTGAGGCTTCACGTCTCTGTGCACGATGCCCGTGTCGTGGAGTCTTCGCAGAGCCGTGAGTATCTGATTCAAGATGGCCCTGATCACTCTCCCCTCCCTCTCCTTGCTCCCCTTGGGCAACCATGCCACATCACCCGGGAGGACGTCCCCGTACAGCAGCCTTTCGCAGTTGTATGGAAAGTCCTTAGCTTGCATCAGGTCTGCCAGCGTTGACTCTCCCTCGAACCGCCAGATCAGCCAGAACGATTCCTCGCGACCATTGGCCTTGTTATCTCCCAAAATCATTTTCCTTTTGTTCACTAATGCTGACGAGTCCATGAACCCATAGACGAAATCTGCGCAGCTGCCACCACACCCTCGTCTCACTCTCTCGTTCATCCAGATCTCCACAGCTCCGTACTCGTTGGCCTTCTTTACTACAATTTGGTCGCTGCCCATTTTGGCAATCAACCGACCGGTAGCCTCGGTAGTGGAAAGGGAGGCCCGGTAGACGCTTCCGTAAGCCCCCTCGCCCAACTTCTTACCCACCTTGATGTCGGACCGAGTCACCTTGGGGCGAAAATAGGCTTCCAAAGGTGCGACAACGAACATGTCCCAGAAACCCGGTGCGACGCCGGGTGTCGCCCACAAATAGCCGATCACCATAAGGGCCAGTATCACGCCACCCGCTGTCGGACTGAAAGCAGGCGGAGGGGGTAGCGTGCTGCGATAAACCACGTCGCCGCAGTCCATGACGGAGCAAGGGAGACCGACTCCCACTCCCAAAGTGACGTGGAAATGAGTCAGCAACTCTGGCAGTAAAGATGCACTCGTGGTAGGCGAAGCGCTGGGGGCGGAGGACGTGCGCCGCACCAAGAATAACCCGCCACCTGGAGAACACATGTTCTTATCAATAATCCTGAAGTTTCCCGCCATAAAAGAGTGCCGCCCAACGGGCACGCCTAGAAAACCACCAGCACCAGAACGCCCCGGGCCGCGGCTCCCGATGATCCTCCGTCCCTTGTTCCTCCATTCTTTGCTGCCACGTCTCCTCCGCCCGATCCCGCCTCCTTCCGCAACGGGACAAGTGGCATCGCGAAAACGACGCTTGCCTAGTCCTCCGTGCCAACCGGCCGGCGCCAACTGGACCCTAGTGTGACCACCATGATGACAGCCATCTTTGTTGAAATTCACCTGAATTTGGCGCGCAGCGCGGCCGCCAGAGCTCTGCCTGGGGTATGATCTGACCCCCAGATCAGCGGAGCTGTGCGCGTAGCTCCGTTGCTTCCGCCGGCCCAACAGGTCCCCGCGCGCGCCCAAGACACCGCCGCACGCCCCTTTCCCCGGCGAGAAGACGCATCGCGACCGTGCACACGAAGCGGCGGTACGTAAGGAAGACGATAAGGACAAAGAGGAAGAGGTCGAGGACCAACCACCTCTCCCAGCCTGCGCCTGAATCGCTGGCAGGTCAGCCTTTGGCCGACTTCCCTGAGTGGTGGACAACGATGACGATGTACCCGGATACGACTGCGACAGAGTTGCGCGCGAGAAGGGAGGCGAACGCAGCCGTCCCCTCAAGAATGCCTGGCTCACCTCCATCCCCCGTACTCACTCACGCATCCAGAAACTTTCGGCTAACTCCTAAAACGCTCTCTCTCTCTCTCTCTCTCTCTCTCTCTCTCTCTCTCTCTCTCTCTCTCTCTCTCTCTCTCTCTCTCTCTCTCTCTC